AAAATGTGTTTAGATTTATGAGTACAGAGGGTTGTGTTTTGTGAATTGTGTCTTCATGTGACATGTGTTTATGGTACTGGAATATGGTGGCTACATTTAGTAAATGTGTTTAGACTACTGGTCATTTGGGTTACAGGATTGGCTTTTGTGTTTTAACATTTGAGAAAAACTGTAACTATGTATCTTAAAATGTAAGGTGGGCTCTATGTCCATTACTTTGAAGAATGTAACATTCTAAAATCAGATACGTTTTTTATATGACATATATTATGTTTGAGAAATTGGAAATTTGAAAGAGCTATAGTAAAAACAATGAAATAAACAGTGATTCCTTTTAAAATTTTGCTTTATTAGAAAGTAGAAAAAGAAAAAAAGTGTAGTCAAAAAACAATACAGAAAGTAAAGTAAAAACAATGCAGATTTAAGGCACTTTTACATTTGGTTATCTTTTCAGGTGTGAAAGCTATGTACCCATGTTTATGAATGGTGTGCAATGACAATTGCTAAAATACTGGACAGTCAATCTTTTCCTACACAATACTAAAAAGACTGGTTATAGATATCTCACCCAAGTTCCTGCAAGGGAAAGGGTGATGAACCCACTTCCAGTTATATGATGTTTAAACAAACGCCTGTTCATGTAATAGATATGCTGATGCTTTCAATAGTCTGTAAAGATTATAGCAAGCAAGGAAACTACTCTATAAAAGATGAAACAGAAGCCATTAAATGAAAAATAATAGATCAAGTGGACCCAGCAGTGGCATGTTTAACTGCATCAAAGATTCATATCTGGCTGTTAGCTCATATCTGCATTGATGTCGGCATCACATTTCAGGGGCACCCATTGTGTTCTCGATCCACTTGAGTTGTTTTTCTGAGAGAAAAGAATAGACTCCAGGTTTTTTTATGTTACCACACTCTTTAGGTCCAAAAGAAGTGACTCCAACTAGCACTCCATTGCACAACAGTGGCCCTCCTGAATCCCCCTGCAGAAAGAGCAGTCGCTTTTGAATTATTTACAACTTTCAAGGTGGCAGCGGGTCTTCAAGCACAAAAAATATGCATGATCCTTACCTTACAGGTATCAGTCTTTTTTTTACCCTTTGAACCAGCACATATCATGTCACTGGTGATAACAGGATTGCGGTTGTAATAGTCACAGGAGTTGCACGTTACTCTATCGATCACAGTCACTTTAACAGACATAAGGACATCTGATGGTTTGTTTTGTTTAGTTAGTCCCCATCCAGCCACCAGACAGTTGCTGTCAGCTGCAGGGTCTTTGACATGTTTATGTAGCTGGAGACATTTCACCGTTTTGGTTTCCTGCACTGGTTCATTAAGCTGAAATAAGATTAAAAAGAAACATAACATAGGATATAAATTGTGTATACGTATCTTTACAAAGATTTTTCTTAATAAAAGAACTATATGCAGTAATGCAAAAACTGAAGCCTCCTTTCTCTACAATTTGCTTCAAGGAGTCAACGTGATCTTTTAAGCTTTATCAAAAAGGAAATCTTTAAGACTAACCTTAAAAGTAAAGAGGGGGTTAATTGTGAATTTAGTGACATGAATTTAACCAGCCAGAGTCAGTGAAAAATGTTAAGTGTTTCCATTTTTTGACCTTAAGGGGCTTGAGTATGACTGGATACTTTCAGGTAACCACTTGAAAAGCATGCAGTCTATGCAATGGCCAGATTAAGAATTCAATACCCTGTTTACTTTTCTGAGTAGCATCAAAGTGTCTACAATAGCATGAGGGCTTTGAAGGTTGAAGATCAACAAAACTGCTATTTTTTAGTCACAGCAGAAAGGAAGGATGTTTTAATGAATATGGGCTTTTTATAAAATTTGTCTGATACTCAGAATCAGTCACAGAACAGATTAGAATAAATTACAGTGTTTGCAATGAACCTTAATTACAGCTACTAAAAGTGTTGATATTGTTAAAACAACATAGGGACATGCGAGAGCCTTGGAAGAGTATAACAGGCACACAAAGTGTTTGATTAACAGCATTTTGAATAAACAGCAACTGAAAATAGAAGAAAAGAGACTTTGATTTTGTTTGATTTAGACCATTTCTTATCTGAAGCTCAGATATGTTATTTTAGATTCCTTTTTAATTCACATTGCTGAATCTTTGCTCTGCTCACTGTTGGACATTCAATTATCACCTTACCTTCAGCAACATGAGGTCATTGACTTTTTTTTCTTGAGAATAGCTGGGATGACGAACACATTCCTGAACCTTTCGGACCTGCCTTAAACGTGTCTCTTTCTTTTTCTTTTTCTCGATGGAATGCACTCCCAGGATCACCGTACTTATACTGGAAGAGAAAAAAACATCAACAACACTTTGTGGTGATGATAGTTTGTTTATAGAACAGGTTAATAAAGATTTAGAGATCATTGTTTGGTTGTTAGTGCTTTATAAATAAAATTCCTTACAGCATCTCTGTGAAAGATCTATCTTTGTAAAATGTGTAAAATGAGATTGTTTAATACTATGCTGTTGATAAAAATAAACCTCAAAGTATGCACATTAGCTCTACAGTTTCTATATCTTTCATCTATAATACTGTAGACACACTGGTCACATAAGCCAAACAGAGTAAATATGATGTCATCAGAAAATCTGTCATAATTCTGTAACTCAGTGTGTGTCTGCATGTGTATGTGTATGTGTCTTTTTAAAAAGGTCTGATAGTTCAGTAAGAGATCAACTGTTTATTTAAAAGGTAGATATACTGAATGTGTGTGTGTGTTTCCATAATGAAAGCCAGATGCGGCAAAAATTGTATCTTTTGTAAATAAAGTCCATAAGCATCAGAATAATAAATATACTGTTGACTGGCATATACACAAAACAATTGTATTAAATTGCATTTTAACATTTTAAAGCTTGAAAATTGTAATAAAAGTATGATTTAATTTCCTACTTCGGACAGTGAGCAGCAGTCAGGACCCATGTTGGATCAATTAATATTCCTCCACACATTGTTCCATCACCCTCCAGCAGAGCCATAAAAGGCAGCGAGTGTGGCTTGACTTCTTTCCCTCCAATAATCTCAGAACCATGACCTAAAACAAAATAAAAATGTCCAGTCACTGGATGTTGAAGTCAAGAACAGATGAGCAAAAGAAAGAAGCACACTGCATCTCAACAAACTGCTTTGTAAGACTGAAAGACCTCAGTAATGTGAGTTTGCATTGTGCATGTTTACATAATGGAGCAAAAGGCAAATTCAAGAGAAAACACTGCTCACCAGACTGGATGATGAAGAGAATCACACATGTGATGAAAAGACTGAAATCTCTTGGGCAGAACATTTCTTCTTACCTCTCCTTATCAGATGCTGAATGCACTGAAACCTTGGTCATAGCTGTAATGCACAACTTATGTTGAGCTGAAAGGATGTGGTCTGGCTGCAAAAGGTTCAAGCTTACATCATTTCAAGAACTCTGGTTGAATTTACCACGAATAATGACCATTTTGTTTATTTACTGTGCGATGGTGGGTTTCTTTACGTGATTCCGAGAACGTTGTCACTGGGTGCAGATATGTCAGTAAGTCACTGACACTTTCACATTTGCTTTCTAAAATGTCATCTTATTAACCAGAAGAAAAAATGATTTGCAGAATAAACAATGAAAAATGACACACTGTTCACAGACATGTTGAAATCATAAAACCATGAATGGACTCAAACATAGTGAATAATTGCAAACAATGCTCTGGAACTGTGTAAAACAAAAACTCAGTAAAACATTTGAGGTTGTCTTTTTGTGAAGTTTACGTTACGTCTTTTAAAAAATTCATTATCACAGAAAAAAGAATCATATCATTGTTAATATTTGTATTTTAATATTATTTTAAAAAAACAAGACAAGGACAGAATAGGATAGAACATAATGGATGTATTCAACTCTCTTCTGTGGTAAAGCTGGTATTTAAAAAAGAGGGAGAACAGGAGGAGAAAATAAATAAATAATTATTGTCACAGTCGGGGAAGGGCGGAATGAGGACCCAAGTGCCGGCCTCCTTATGCTGAACAGTGTGTTTATTTATAGTGCAGTTAATAATCCACAGAATAAATCCCCATGCGCTCCCCTGACTCCCGTGTCGTGTCTTCTCCCAAAACATCCGTGTTCTGTGCTCTCCACTCCCGTGTCTCTGCATTCCCCATGCCTGCTGCTATCTGGCGTTCCACGCGCCTCCTGAGACACAATACAAACAGCCATCAAGACACCACATAACTAGTCTTTAACACTGACTTGAAGACTGACTTGGAGTCTCACGCAATAATCCCACGCCAGAGGGAGCTCCATCATACTCTTAAATTGCTCCCCCTACGAGCCTCAGCAGCAGCAGGTGCATGGCATGGTCTTCAGGTGTGGTCAGCCCCCTACCAGGGCCACACCCACCAGGCCTGCAGGTGCCTGTCACCCAGCCTACAGGAAACAGTGCCAACCGCAGACAAACAAACATCCCAACACACACCTGCCTATTCCTACAACTTGGGACACAGTCGGCAGCTCAGTGCAGCTAAAACACACAATAATTATAATAATAATGATAATGAGTCCACACTGCTCAAGAACCCTGGATCCCTCAAACCCAGATCCCTGACAATTATAAAGAGTGCATATACACATACAAGCAATTGTAGTAAAGAGCCTTCAATATCAATATCAGTATCTTGTGGATTTTGTGGGGTCCAGAAGAGAGATTTTGGATGCCTCCGTCTGCATTCTGGACCCTTCCATGGTCAGAGAATACCGCCACAGCTACCCAAACAAGCCCGGGAGGCTCACCGAAGGACTCACCTTCACTAGAGTCCTTCGGGTGCTTTAGACCATCGAACTATCAAAAAAGACCACATCTGGTCTAATGAAACAAAGACTGGGCTGAAACTGGGCTGAATGCCAAGCATCAGGGTTGGAAGAAAACAGGTACTGCTCATCACCTGGCCAATACCATTCCTACAGCAAAGCACGGCAGTGTCAGCACCATGCAGTGGGGATATTTTTCTGTAAAAGGAAAAAAAGTGGGAGACTAGTTAGAATCAAGGCAAAGATAAAATCAGCAATATACAAAGACATCCTTGATGATAACCTGCTCCATAGCACTGTACTTTGGACTTTGGGGAGAGTTCATATTCCAACAGGACAACGAACCAAAGCACACAGCCAGGATAACAGAGGATTGGCTTAGGGACCACTCTGTGAATGTCTTTAGTGGCCCAGCCAGAGCCCAGACTTGAGCCTGATTTAATATCTCTGAAGAAAACAGAAAATGGCTGTGGACCAACACTCCCCATCCAGCCTGATGGAGTCTGACAGGTTCTGCATACAAAAATGTGAGAAACTGCCCAATAACAAGTATGCCAAGCTTGCAGCATCTTACTCAAAATTACTTCAGGATATATTTCCTGCCAAAGGTGCTTCAACAAAGTATCGAGCAACGGCTCTGAATACTTAAATGCATGATATATTTTTGTTTTTTATTTTAATACATTTGCAAGAATTTCAAGCAAAGTTTGTCCCCTTTTTCATGATGGAGTACTGTGTGTAGAATTCTGGGAAAAAAATGAATTTGATCCATTTTGGAATAAGGCTCTAACATGACAAAGGCTACATTCACACTGCAGGCGAAAGAGCATCAAATCTGACTTTTTTGGTATGACAGTTTGAACAGCACAAATCCGATATTTTCAAATCCGACCTAGGTCACTTCGGTACGTGGTACTGAATCCGATAAATATCTGATGTTTTAGAACGCGACTGCTGTTTGAATGGTCATATCACATTAAATCGGTCTTTTACGTCACTGACACAAGACAGACGCCAATTATCAGCACTGGAGAAGACAAACAAGAAAGCATGGCGGCCATTGTTAAAGCACGGGCTCTCTTTTTTCTCAGTGTTCTTCTTTCTCTAATTAATTTGTCAAAATTCTGTCGGTTACGACTGTGCAGAAATTGATAGACTGCTGCAACAACACCTACTAGCTCTGTAGCCGCCATTTTTACTTTCGTAAACAGAGCGTGTTGTGTGTGACGTCTTCTTTTGTGCATGCGGGCCGCTTTGAGGGCCGTGAACGTTCACACTAAAGTGCGTTTGCTGTCACATTTTATTTGTAGTGTGAACAACCAGACAAAAAGATCAGATTTGATCAAAAAAATCGGAATTGAGCATTAAGACCTGCAGTGTGAGCGTAGCCAAAATGTGGAACAAGTGAAGCACTGTGAATGCTTTTCGGATACACTGTAGCTGGTTACTATTGTTTTGTGGAGCATGATGTACCAAGTCCTTCTTCTTCTACATGACGTTATCACACACACTGTCCAGCAAATTATCCCTGTGGATGAATTACAATATGGTAAATGGTCTGTATTTGTATAGCGCTTTACTAGTCCCTAAGGACCCCAAAACGCTTT